CTAATTTCTGACGCCTGCAGTTAGTTGAAGCTGAAACTAACCAATGGGGTTAGAGAATAGAATCTGATCAACCAATGAAAGATCATGGTTTTCAGCTTCAGCCGGATTACTTGCTATTCTAATTTCGGTAGCACAAAGTCACATGAATATTTCACCGCGTTGTATGCGCATAAGAAATTTCGCCACTAACCTTCAATTACCTTTTCATATACGACCGTTTTTTATAATACTGTTATGCATTTTATAGGGGGAAAAAAAGATTGTTGATACCGCAGCGATTCCCGTTATTTTGGAAGTACAAAAAGCATCAAATACTTCTGCTTACACTAAAAAAGATTAGTTTTCGGACACAAAAAATAACGAATAGTAAATAGTGAATAATGAATAGTGAAAAGTGAATGGCAAATAGTGAATAGTGTGCCGAATAGTGTAGTAAATAACAAACGGGGGATGGTAAATAGCGAATAGAAAATAGTGAATAGTAATAACGATAACGAGAGCAAAACGTGAGCACCTCATACTCGAAATGGAATATCACATGTTGTTCCCAAACTGATTATAGTGATAAAAACACTATGTAAATTTCCCATTTCAGCGGCTGATCTTCACTAAACCTTATTGCATATTGCTTGCTTATATTACATTACATGCTATTGTCAATTGAGAATTGATATTTTGACGTAAGATAAATTTATTTCTTATATAAAGACTTGCGTTTCACCTTTCCTGATTATTCCTTTCGATAAAAATGTTTCGTGTGATCGATATATTTTCTCTTGACGTGAACGAAATAGTTTTTAATATCAATGATAATGACGACTATGCTCAATTTCCGTGTGTTCCATGCGCGCTTATTGTATACCAATTCAATAAAATGGATTGCTAGAGATGAAACATATACTTATCCTTTGAATTCTCCTTTCCAGATACACCTCTTATTTCTCATCCCAACAATTCATCAATAATTGCAATATGCAGTAGTTGCAAAATTAAACATGATAATAGATTAAGTCGCAGGCTTGCTTAATACCTGCATGTATACAAGATGTCCTGTATGCTAAAAAAAAAATCTCTCTCCTGTATACTTTACCTGTATACCTTCACACCAGTTTAGGTTGTCAAATATCGAACAATGGCTGGCCAAATGGGTTATTCTAAAAATCGGAGAGCATTAACCCTCTATTCGGGTATGCTAGGCGCTTTTCTGCAACAAATAGACTTGTCCGAACCTAATAACCGTTGGTATGATCCATCATTGTGTCACGCCTGTGAATGGTTACAACATAACAAATCCTTATTTAGCCATACCACTCTTTAGCATCGCGTTTGCTAGAACGCAATGGGCAAAACTCATCCGATATTCCGATAAATTGGCCACGCCCCATTCAATGTTTGTAACACTATTAACTACCACTTTCCATAACCAACTATTATTAAACCTAACTTAGCACGTTTTTGTGTTCTTATCGTACACATGCACCCCGATAGAAATTGTATTAACGTTAATAACTTTTACGTATAAATTAAAGAATAAAGGAACAGTAAATAACGAATAACAAAGAATGAACAACAAACAGCAAATAGAAAATATCAAATAGTATATAGTGAATACTGAATAAATAACGAATTTTCTAAAATCGTATTCACATACGAAATAGCAATAACCTGAAAGAGTAACCATGGCTGCATAACCATAAGCAGCTCATACTCAAATGGATAATCCCACACTCTATTTCTTGTCTTTTCCAAAACGATAATAATTGTCAAACCTTCCTACGATCTACGTCAAAGTCAACAGCTGATTCAACAATTCGTCTTTTAAAATTTTAATTCGTCAATAATAATAATCGTCCCTAAATATATAAATCCTACGCATGAAGCAAGCCCATCATCAACCTTCCTGATTCATTTAGACAAAAAAAAAGCCTTTCTTCTACTGCACTTTGCGCAACAATGCTCGTCCATATCCACTCACACCACTATTCACGTTTATGACGTAAAAGAGGAGAATAGAACGGAAACAAAATTTTTCAGAGTAAACGGAATATTCCTAAATTTTGCCAATGAACCTATTCAAGTCCAAGTGGAAGTTTACGTTCCTAAAAAACAATCCAGACCGGCTAGCTACCACTACATGCTCACCCTAAACAAAATATACTACGACAGATAAACGCCATCCCTCCAGTAAATCATCAACACAAATTCCCCCAGCTCGAACATGGCTAACGACCATTGGCAGCGTAAATCTACAACCCAGGTAGTACACAACATGGCCATCTTCACAGTTCAATACATTTCAGGTAGTGGATCAAAAAAAAATCTTTAACGAACAACCTAACTTGATGTTACACAACAACGAATTGTGCATAGAATTGCACAATTTCGAATTTTATCTGTAAATCCAACTCCACAACTCACCTCACCACTAACGCAATCTTTCTCCACTTCGTCTACCTCATCCTCTGCATCTGAAAAAAGAAACCACCTTTATAACACGATATTGGAGACTTTTCATACAGACAAACCTCAAACGACAATCCTATCCAAAATTACCAACAAGAACTTGAACATACAACTTCATTAACATCTTCTATAATGATAACCCAAACTTCTCCAAAAGAAATCCCAATTACTCAAACTACCGATCAAATTAATTATAAACTTACCAAAACCAAAAATCAACCAAAAAAAAGAACACTACGTTCCAGCAATAAAACAAAAAAAGTTTCTGACCTAGCATCATCTAAATTAAATTATTCTTTCTTACTGTATGTACTTTATACTAGATACTTAAATAAATTAATGGGGGCGCAGCCCCCAATTACAATTTTCTAGTTTTAGTATTAATTTTGCGGTGGTTATATAGTCCATTATGCCAATATTTTTAAATGTATGGGGTGGTCGGTGACTTTTGAGACGAGCTTCACTGCGCCCTCTAACAACCTGATCTTTTGAATCCAAGATACATGATGACTGAATGTGTTAACTGTTTCTGTCTTGTACATAAGGGTATTCAATGGCAGAAGCAATTTTCATCAATTCCTTCTCAAATTCGATTTTAAACGTACGTTTAACTGGTTATTCTTCAAACGCTCTGAAATGACATCGTATACTTCATTTATTTCATACAGAATTGCATCAGGATTATCTTTGAATTTGTTCGTCCATAGCTTTATTCGGTAATAGATACGAAATTGAAATCATTACAGTCGCAAAAACCCGTCAAATCACTCTTTATCTGTGATGTACTTGATCCACTGCTACTCTGGAATAGCATTACGCTTCTGTCTTGAACGATAATAGCATTCCATTCTTGTTGATGTCGCATTTTTTTATTCTCAGCCTTTCAGAACAATGATTACAAGTTGCACATTTATATTCTAGATCATTACGTCTTGGCCTGCAATTTTCTTTGTTATGTGACAGTCGCTACGTTTAGTTTTTAAACAAACATGTTAATGTAAGTATGAAAGCGATTAATATAGTAATTAAGGTAGCCTCACTAGTTCATCGTCCCAATTACCAAAATAGTCAGGGGGCGTGGACTTAGTGAAGGGGCGATGAACCATAAAGAAGTGATACCATATTGGTAAATTAGTATTTCTAGTTTCATATATATATAGCCATTTTGAGATTGACTAATTTCGCATTAGTGGCAGATAGGCATCCAAAATATATCTATAATAAGAAATAGTTCAAACTCATGTGATCTTTTTTTCCCAACGGGCGTGTTTCATTTTGTGTAGCTCACTAAGCAGATATGGTAAGCACTAATTGCTAATCAGATATGACATGTTGTATAACTGTTAGAAGTACTCCACAAGCGTCATAATGATACGAGTATTCAATGACTCATGAATTATGGGAGAAATACAAACAAATGTTCATTGAAACTAACTTTCAAGAGGGGGATACTCGAAACCCTATAAAAAACGGCATTGAGTTGCTGTCTCCCCAACTCAAAACATCACCTTGTAAATTCATATCTCATCCTCAAATTCTCATTCCAAGTCAACAATGGAGAAACCTTGTGGTAACCCATAAGTGAGAGTACTAGTATATTGGATAATAGGGCATATATTCGTATTATGCAGTTACGTATTATACAATGGGGTAGCCGTGTATATAAAAATGAAATATATGAAACTTATCTATATTGGATCTACTATGGAGCCCAAAAACTACAGCACTTTACGCTCTCTTTTAAAGCAAGAACAGGGCGAAAAAATTGCGCCGTATATTTTTAAAATATCTGACTGTAAAGCTATTAAACAATATTTAGACAAATAAGGAATCACCTATGAAATTTACCAAGAGGAAAGGATAGAAAAGACTCCTAAGCGAACATTGGTCGAATCCTTTCAAGAGCCAAGGAAAAAACGGAAAATAGAGGAATAAGAGGGTCATTATAAGGAAGGATAATCCTATATGGCTTTTTGTTTGCCGGGAGCATTCGTCGTTTTTGTGACGAGTAAATTTTCGTCGGTAATTTCCATGAGTTTGTCTGCGGAATGGAGGGTTTGAACCCTGTGTTTGAGTAAAGCGCTTTAACGCTTGTGCCCGCCATAGTAGTAATAATAATGTGTTAAGCGATGGCTGAAAGATCGCTTCTTTATTTGAATACATTATTAACTAGTTTTATCCTATCTTGTGCGATTTTTTTCTTTTTGCTGGTTGTAGCTGTCGGGAGCGACTTATGTGTTCCTTCCTTGAAAGTGTCTGTAAAATAAGAGACGTAGCTGGTGAAGTCAGGACTTTTTGGTTTCAACATGCTGCCTGTAGAACACAAGATATTCGTCGGTTTCTAATTATTAGTGTCGATATATTCTAACAATCGAAAGCATTTTTATGTAGATTAATTTGTACATTCATATTCTGACAAGTTGTAAGTAGGGGGAAATGTAATTGTGACAATGTGTGATCGGGTCTGCTGTTGCTATATGCATATGCTAAAATTCATTGTGCCATGGCTCAAACACTCTTCACTTGATGCGAAGCCTTCAGGAGCTTCGTTGATCTTCGTCACATGATTCGTCTTTAGTTTTCTCAACTTCGGATTTCATCATTTTGGCTTGAGACTGGAGTAGGCGGACGATAAAGGAGAGGACTTTTTTTGGTTGTGACATGTCGCCTTCAAAAGCAACATTGTACTCCCTGGACACTTCCACCCTGGGCTTGTCAGGAGTGCCAGTCCACCGAACAAATTGCCATACGCGTCCAGTTGTTACTATTCCATATATAGTATTGCATTCATCAAAGTCATGACTTGGCTCTTCACGCTTTCGTTTTCCCAACAGTTGCTGGGAAATAATAAAAACCATTGGTAAGTGGTTAGTTGCTAAGACGAATCAACGTTTTAAGTAAAATCTCAAGTACCTCGGCAGCAGTGTGCAACTGAACAATGTTTTGAGTCAGCCCTTGCGACATCTTCTCTAATTTAGCTTCAGTCACCAGAATCACGAGTTCATAGCAGAACACTACATAGTCTAGATTCCCGTAGCCCCGACTTCCATCAAAGTCTTGCTCCACACTAAGAACTAGTGATGGATGAGAAGACATCACATGACAAACTGCCGTGTGCATAAATGGATTAATGTAACAACGCGCCATGGTTTCGTTGATGAATTTATATCTGAACGAGCGTGAAGTAAGGTCAAGCGTGTTAACAAAGCGAGATTGAAGTTCGGGGGTCAATGGGACCTCATCGGGGAGGTTTTCTACAAAAGGTTTTAGACATCAATCAATAAAATGATTAATGCTCAAAAAAATTAGAGACACTACCTATGTCAAATGTTGGTAATTTGTCAATGGTGAAGGTTCCCGGTAAGTGCAGAATATCGGCCAGTACCTCTTTTGCTAACCAGTCACCGTAGGCCTTTTTCCCTAGAAGGGTATAATGGATACACATAAATAGTAGTGCTAGAGAAAATGAACGTAAACAAAATAACCAACCTTTAAGCTGGACCGAAAAATTAATACTGCATTTTTGATCTGTCGATTTGATATCATCCACCAGACTGTTAAACTTGAAAGCGTTATCGATACTGATTGTTTTGTTGTTTTGGGCCACGAAGCAGAAATCGCCATTTTGCAATTGGTCGAAATTTTCTTTGGTTTCGGCTCGCAAAACAAACCAGGCACCAGTGGTATGAAGAACCATAGTGTCGAACGAAGATCTAAGAAAGCTGATGCGCGCGACGATTTTATCATTTGACAACGGATAGCGAATTACAAGCGGAGACGCAGCAGTTACGACAAGAGAATTAAGACGCGTGTCAGGTAGGAGAGGTTTGGTGAGATCGCCGCTGGCAAAGACTTCGAGATCTCCCGGCGTAAGATCCTTGAGAGCGGGGAGTTTTTGAATAGCAGCTGTTTTCAGAGCGTGTAAATTCAGCCTGGAGGCAGTTTGCGCGACAATATCTAATTCTTCAGCATCCAGCTTGTTCTCGAGACGGATCCAACACGTTGTTGTTACTGTTGTTGCAGAAATAGCGACACTCATGCCTACATATTCTAATGCTGGTACGGTCAGTTGTGAGATTTGGTTGCTCATTTTTTTTGAGTTTTGCGTTCTTTATTTGTTTACACCTGTTGCTCATTTTTTTGGGAGGCATGGCTGTTTAATAGCGTGGCCCTTTGTAGACAAAACTGGTGGGATCAATGACGTAAAGCTGCAGAATCATGTGATGTGATTTCTATTGCTGGCTGCGGTTACTGTGCGACGTCGCTAATACTAATAACAGAAGAACGGACAGACGGTTATGAATTCATTGTGATGGCATAACAATAACGTAATAATAAAATATTTCGAACAAATTACTGTGATATAAAGGTCGTCAATGGAGTTGAGGCCGCCGTTTGTTGTATCGGAATAAGGGACGGAGGGACCACAAAGTGTCTGAAAAGATATTGGGATCGGACAAGGATTGTTTGTGTGGATTTCGACTTGATTGTGATTCGGTGAATTCAACTGTCCATTCATCGTGTCAATATTGCCCGGGTGTGTATAATAAGAATCTGAGGAATTGCCTTGATATGATACATAATCGCCCGTATAATTTCCGGCATTTCTGTAGTTCATACTATTCATATTTTCAAACAGGATTCATCACTCCAAACCACTTTTTTTCCCAATATCTGCAGTTCATTCTGATGTTCTCGAGCACACTGCATTCGATCTTTCTTGTTTTTTTTTTTCCCGAAATAAGTAGATTTCGAGCGACAACTCAGCCATTATACTCCGATTCAAACAAAGCATATTTTACTGTCGATTCACTAACAGAATTCCAGCTGATTGGATAACGTTTGCACAAATTTGTTTTGTAGTCTGCTGGCGATTGATCCGAACAGATATTTCAAGATGTCGCTTATCTGATAGTCTCCCAGTGCGTATGACAGGGAGTCGCTAGTATCGTTTTCACAATACCTTGCTATTATATCATGTATTGTTGACTTTGGACGGCTAGTTTTTCAAAACTAAGTACGCTTTTGTAACAACCTTTACAGAAACTTGCATTTTTTAAAAATGTCTTGATGAGATTTGCAAGACGTTGTGCTGATAACCATGTGACGCTAAATTTCTATTAGTATCCTGGTGATCTTGTCACGAGATTCTTCAACTTCGTAAAATTTCCATGCATCCCCGAAATCCGTGGGCACATCTTCACGATACACTAAAATTAGAATCCTCATGGCAATCTCATTACGTGATATGGCTGTTAGATAGTGGTGATCTTATTCTGATGTCACAGAGACATTTATAAAAACTACAGTTCTGTAAAGACTCTAGTCACGTAACGCACATGTATGTTTGTATTACGCGTACATAATCCTTAGATTGGATATTATATTCATTGTATTACCAAATTGTGAAATATCATAGTTATGTACAAAAAGGAACAAGACAGAACGCGAATAAAGACAATGTTTAAAGTTTATTGCAAAAATTGTACCAAACATTTACAGCTCTTGTCGTTCAGTCATCTTTCGCTAAGGTTTAAATGCGTAAGCTGAATAATGTTTGCAGATAAACTTGGACTTTAATTTCTCAACAACAATGCAAAATGTTGGGCTAAACCTTTCTGCTTGATAGCAGGTTTTTGCGCTTTCGAATGGATGTAAATTTGTGTAAAATTATTATGTAAATTGATTTTTAAACAATTTAAACCTTTAGGTCAATTTAGCTTTTTCGGTAACGCAAAAGTTAGATATTTTTATTATATTACTAGCTAACACTTTGCGAATATGTTATACACTACACTAGATTCAGTATTAATTTCACGGTAATTGCGTTGCTCGTTATGGCAATATTTGCATTTAATTGCAAGACTACCCTAGATTCAAATTTCTTTCAATGAAAAGCAAGATATTTGGGCAATTTTTTATACATCTGATATATAGCGGTACTTTTGCGCTTTTAAAGGAGTATAAATTCGTGTATAATGTTGCAAGTGGATTAATTTTAACGATTTTTTTATACATTTGAGTCACACAACCTAATTTTATCGTTTTTCGTAGGGTAAAAGTCGGCTTTTACGTAAATTTGTAATTTACTATGCAATTTATTGTTTATATATTATCTACAATGTGCGCTAACTTTTGAGAGCTTCACTGCGCCTTCTAACAACCTGATCTTTTGAATCCAAGATACATGATGACTGAATGTGTTAATTGTTTCTGTCTTGTACATAAGTGTATTTCCGTATTTCCCTATAATAACCAGAGCCAGATCGGCCAGATGAGAAATTTAGTTTAACATCAGAAAATTGTTCAATGGTAGAAGCAATTTTTATCAATTCCTTCTCAAACTCGATTTTAAACGTGCGCTGAGCTGGTTGTTATTTCTTCAAACGCTCTGAAATGACATCGTATACTTCATTTATTTCATACAGAATTGTATCAGGATTATCTTGAATTTGTTCGTCGATAGCTTCATTCAGTAATAGATACGAAATTGAAATCATTACAGTCGCGAAATAATTGAAAACCCGTCAAATTACTCTTTATCTGTGATGTACTTGATCCACTGCTACTCTGGAATAGCATTACGCTTCTGTCTTGATCGATAATAGCATTCCATTCCTGTTGACGTCGTATCTTTTTAATGATTACAAGTTACACATTTATATTCTAGATCATTACGTCTTGGCCTGCAGAATTCGGTCGTTTTCTTTGTTATATGAAAGCCGCTACGTTTAGTTTTTAAACAAACGTGTTAACGTAAGTATGAAAGCGATTAATATAGTAATTAAGGTAGTCTCACTAGTTCATCGTCCCAATTACCAAAATAGTCAGGGGGCGATGGACTCAGCGAAGGGGTGATGAACCATAAAGAGGTGATACCATATTGGTAAATTACGTGTAGTATTTCAGCCATTTTGTGCGATTAATTTCGCATTAGTGACATGTGAATAGTTTTAACAAACACAGATCAAATATTAACCCAACTATCTGCCTAATCGTTCGCCATACCATCAACTACGCTAACGTCTGGCAAACTTATATTTAATATTAGAACACAGTTGCATTCGGACTCTGATCTAGGCATCGTATACAAGCTTCATTGAAGTCAAAAAGTTTGCGTTGCGTAACAGATAGGCATCCAAAAGTAATAAGAAATAGTTCAAACTACTCATGTGATCTTTTTTTTCCCAACGGGCGTGCTTCATTTTGTGTAGCTCACTAAGCAAATATGGTAAGCACTAATTGCTGATCAGATACTCCACAGCGTCATAATGATATACGAGTATTCAATGACTCATGAATTGTGGGAGAAATACAAACGAAACTAACTTTCAGGAGGGGATACTCGAAACCCTATAAAAAACGGCATTGAGTTGCTGTCTCCCCAACTCAAAACATCACCTTGTAAATTCATATCTCATCCTCAAATTCTCATTCCAAGTTAACAATGGAGAAACCTTGTGGTAACCCGTAAGTGAGATACTAGTATATTGGACAATAGGGCATATATTCACATTATGCAGTTAAACATTTTCTGTCGAATGAATTAGTTCATGTACCTGCGGACCTGAATGCAAGTGTGCCAAAGGCGCTTGTACATGCGGCCAGTAAGGCCTTTTTGAATAGGAATCAAACTCTGAGAAAGAGAACAGGTACATTCTATTAAACTGCAGAGTATTCACTATTCTAACGCGCTCGCTAATATGATATATTACTTCGTTAGCAGCATGGCTGCAAATTATTTCAATGTTATGATTACGAGCTTTTAAGCGTCGTGGAGTTATTTTTGTTGTCATTGTGATAATAAAATGTTACTGTGAAGTATTATCTTGTTTTAATTACGTGTTACATCAGTGAGCTGCAAGTATTGCCTTTCGCTATATATACAATTACAGATTGATATATGCTCGTACTTAATTCCTTTTGTCCAAGATTAGTGCTCGACACACCACAATATATCTCTCAAGGAATGCATCATCTTCATATCCGAATTTCACGCGTGTTATCATCGAAACAGGTCAAGTAGCATTTGCATCGATAAAAACATATTGGAACCAATACATAACTTGCTGATAAAGAGTTACTGAAATATATAAGAGTGCTTGATCGTTACATAAAAGTTATGAAGCAAGCGACGATAGAATATCTCTCCAATGCAATAAGTACCCGATTGATTGTCGTGATTCTTCCACATCGAACACGATATTTCGTCAGTGAGAATAATTTGCTCATGAGCCATTCTTTAAGAAATTGATTCAAACGTTAGCTCGTCTATAGTAATAGTAGGAAGCTAATACCTTCAACCCTGTTGTGTTACAATATGTCTAGTACATTTTAGTCTGCCTTTCTCAAGAGCGCGAAAATATAATAATATCGTCAAGATAGCTTCCATAATAATCTATTTAAAGTTGGTCCATGAGTTGTTGAATAATATTGACTTCAGGATTCCATCCGATCTTTAATTGGCGAAAAGTCATAACCACATGTTTGAGATTATACTAATACGTCACATTTGTTGATAAATTAAATTAACGCGTTCATACTGGTCTTTACTACTGCATCGTAGTACTTATAACTTAAAGTCGAGCTGCTTTGAGATCACTTATATCAACATTGTTCGTATTTGCAACACAAGTAAACAACTTTATTGCAAGGCACATTAAATGTTAAGCCAGTTTCACCATACTACATAAGTAAAGCTACCATAGGTTCAATAAAGAGTCGGAAGCAGTTCCCTTTAAGTGACACAATACTATAATATATTTAACATCCCATGGTTCGCGAACACACCCACGTAAAGATAATTTACGGCCCCAAACCCTATTTGAATGCGAACCACGATAGCAATAATCAATGTTATTGAGTGGTAGCATTTATAAGGGGAACTGTTCACGCCAAATAGACTATGACTAACACATTCGTATCATTGTATCGTCGTGTTGGGGAATTTTCGCGTCTCATTCTCGAATGATAAAATAGTTCGTGCGTATCACAAAATATAAATAATGCGAATATACATTATTATATCCAGTTCACTGTGACGCCTTTTGAGTAACGCGCGGTAAATCTTTCTCTTGCTCCGATCCAATGTAGATAGGTAAGTTGTATTTCAGTTTGTATTACGCCTTTTGTTAATATTATATTATTAATGGAAAAGAAGTTCAGAAAGACAGGCCCCCATAACTTATTGAATCAAAAGTAAATGTACATTACTTAGTTTGTTTGATCCGATGAGCTTTTGATTATTAATTGCAATATACGAGTCTTGTCTATAATTAATGATGTACTCTCGGTAGACTAAGCGTGCAAGATACAATCAAAGAGGAGCTCCATATGCCTCAGGTAATCTCTCGATCGTATATTTACGTCGAGAGATATACATTATCGGTATTCCAGGTATTTTCCGTATTCTTCGTTTGAGATCCCGATCACATGTGGCTACTATAAAACATTTGTGCTGGAGAATATCATGATATGTGAGTAAAGAAAGCTGTGTGGAGTTAGTTGACGCATCTACGGTAACAAATACCTGTGTGACTCGTTGTACTATACAATCGTCGGCGTAAGTGCCTTTGTGCAAACAAGGCAATCGTTCAAAGCGAGGATCACGAGCAACGCTGATTACACATAAAGTCAGCAGTTGTCCAGACAATAACAAGAAATCAACTGGCAAACAGCATGCTCACCGAAGGGCAATACGATATTTAGGTCCAAGTTTTTCCAATTCAGCCATAACGCAGTCGGTTATACATGGTATACCTAATGAAAAAGGTCAGTCACAGGAATAACAATATAAGAAGTAACTTGAACGATCAAAAACTCACTTTTAGCATACAAACAGTCCATCATTGACTGTACAAGTTCCAACTTGTTTTGTATCGAGAAGTTGATGAAGTTTGTATCAACCAGTATATGATATGGTGGGCCAAGTGCAGTGTTGTACTTGAAGAATAAAGAAGAAGCCACTTGAGGACTATAGTCATGGTCGGTAAATTTAGATATTAAGTGACAGTAATGGACATGTCGAGTAAACATTATCTGATACTTACACATTTCTAACAGCATTCTTCTCAGTCTCTTCTTCCTTCTTTTTCAATTTATCTTGGACACTCTTTCTAGGGAGTAGTAAAAGCTGTCAAGTCAGTAGCGAGGGACAGACAGGTCTGCACTGCATTCACCGAGAAAAAGGCATATTTACAATCTAGAATCATTAGGATTGAGTAATCGTTTAACTTCTGCAAATCTTCTTGTTCTTTTGGCTTTACCCTACAGTAAATAATCGTGGAGTAAGTGCATTTATCATTTATGATACATCAATTCTTGAGAGAGATAACCGTACCATAATTAGTAGATGTTATAAGAATTTCTTCCGGCAAAAAAAAAAGTTATCAATAATAACAGTAATGATAATATTTATTTATTGATCACGGATCAATTTCCAAATAAGGCCAGTCAGGATAAATCGTCAAGTCCGCAGAATCAACTTTTTTCCTATTATCTCATTATGACCCATGACGATGAAGCTGGCGTTATGGTTAAGTCACCTGGTTTCAGGTACAAGACATTTAATTCTAAAAAACGGCGCAAGAGATGCAAGACTAATGGAAAGTCGATTACCGAGAATGATGTGATCAATTCGATAGAGATGTCGAGGTGCGTACAAGTCGGTTCAGCTTGTAAAATTTGAGTATTAATTGAGCATATTTTATAGACAGTTGTTGATGGATAGTCAGTTCTACATGGAGCTCAAAGGTATATATATGTCGGATGTGAAGACCTTTCTTACGGCGGTGTTTACTAATTTTACTTGCAAGAATCTTTACAGAAGCATCTGTCCACCCATTCCGCATCGGTTGTAGACATTGTATGCTATGGCATAGGCAGCATTGAATCATCTATTCTATCGCGATACCAACTTGCTCTTGCATTGCTTTTGAGGGAATTATTACAGGTAAGTGAACATGCACAGAGCGGGGAATAAACAGAAGAATAGCTAGTAACTAGTTATATAGATTACAGGATTTCTCTATGCGTATGATCCGTTGTTGGGTCAGGTTGATTTCAACGCCTTTAACTATTATGACATAAAGCCTATTGGTGTCAACGAGGAAAGTATCTACGGACGATCTTAATGTTGTCGGTGTAAATTGACTAATACTTGGGGTTTTTCCTCTGTGACTTGTAGAGAGGGCAGCGAGTGATTTCGCAACCGACTTTGTTTTTTATGCCACACTGTCCTCTTTCTCTATACGATAACGTTCTTTCTGCCAACTGGGAAAAGCATAGGCTTGAGCAATTGATTATGATTGGTAATAGGTTTGATTTTTATGAAGAATCGTAAGTAATAATATTGTCGTATCATAATAGTCCAATTTCTTGCTCTCACAAAAACCGGTGCTGAATTATTTTACACGACTCGATTCAACAGATTGATGGGTTCTACACTAAAAAATAAGGCACCTTACGTCTCTCGAATATCCTTTAATATCTATCGTTGTTAATCTTTATGCAATACAACGTTATTCGTCCTATACAAATTCAAATTACGCTCTGAGCCATGTTCAGATTCTTCCCTTTCCAACTGTAACTAATGAGCATTCGCGCTCTATTCCATCAACTGCCTTTAGTGACACGTCATGGCAATGGTTTGCCTTTACATCGGCAATAGAAAACGACACTACGTTTTGGGATTGTAAGACAATCAAGGAATATCAAGATCCAGAACTTTTATAGATTGTATTCGAGACAATAGAAACAAATCCTAGATGTTAAAATTTAAATAGAGCTCTTTAACATTAATTTTCACTAGTGAATATGTATTAATTAATAATTTCATCGAGGCATCAGTATTTGTATTAAAGTGTGACAATGGAATGAAGTTTTCATTGGCTGTTCATTTTAATGGCGATCAGCACATGCTTATGAAGGGATTCCAGTTTTCGTTCCAATTATTGTATTAATTTCTTATCCATGCAGAGTCAAGCATTAGGCAAGAACGCTCATACGCTAGGTGTATTGCCATCGATTCTTATCCTAGTGTCTGCATTTGGAATCGGAGCGGCATCAGTATATTTGGCTTTCGATAGCTTGTTGTCTGACGAAATGTGAGTATTAGATCGATACGATACAAAAATATAATAAAAGCTATTTCACGCCACTCAATTATCACTCAACTGTTGATTATGACTAGTAAGTCGGTGCTCCATTTCCCAAGGACGTTAGGCGATGTAAAAGCGCTTCATACGGGATTGTCTAATGCGGATGATGCAGCGCTCGTGTTATGCTACATAACAGTCTACATATTGTAAGTATGATCCATCACTATGCAACACTCGTCAATTGAAGTACAGCAAATTTGCAGGCTGTTATAAACAGTGTTCTTTGCAATCAATAGTCCGATTTACACAATCGATTTATTCCAGTCTTCAGTCGTTCGCGATACCCGGGAGTGTTATGCTTAGTGTACTGGGGGGAACATTGTGGGGAACTTTGAAGGCATTGGCATTAGTTGGTTTTGTAAGTAATCGGAACAATGCTGCGTTGCTTTTTGGTAGATGTATTTGCTCACTGATTGTCATGTAATAAGTGCTCAGCAACGGGTGCAACCATTTGTTATTTCCTATCATACTATTTGGGACAATCAGTCACCAGAGTATACCTTGCAGAGAGGATGAAACAATGGAATGAACAGGTAATAAATTGATATGTGGTTAAAGCAGGAGACGTGAGATCGATGGGGTTTTAGGTGGAGGGGGAAAAGTTTATTTGAGTAGAAGAGACTGTCAGTTCATTCATCACACTGCCGTGTTCTAATCATTTATTCCACTTACGCGTTCTTGTAAACAGTTGGAAAATCATAAACAGCATCTCTTTTCCTACATAGTCTTTCTGAGAGTGACACCATTCCTTCCAAACTGGTTTATCAATATTGCCTCTCCTCACATGAATGTCGGCATTAACACATTCTATTGGGCTACATTTTTTGGTAATTGTCAAAGGCTTTCTTCAACAACGCTCAATTATTCCTTAACTAACAGCGTTACAGGGGTCATGCCTCTATCATTTATTCATGTTCAGGCCGGAGAGACAATACATAGAATAACAGAGACGGACAATTTCACTTTCTTAACTCCACAGAATGTACTTACTATGACAATGATAGCTGTCGCTGCACTCATCCCGATAATTATAAGAAGAAAATTCGAGAAAAAGGAGAAAGCAGAATGATGGAGTTATCGTCGGGTTTGGAAACAATATGCAAGTACAAATAGTCAATGTTGATAATAATAAGAACATAATAATGTTAATGATTAATAATAGCTGCGTGGTAAAACGTAATAAACGGCGATCTCCTCTCCAATGCTACTGCTAAGGAAAAATGCTATAAGAAAGAGCGAGAGGAAAGCTGTGATCAAATTTCGAGGGTCAGCAACTGTGATCGATCGAGTTTCCGTGACGAAATAACCCATGACGAAATAACCGTGTGCGATAAACAAAGCCAATAAGTTCATCACTCTTGTTAATATTGACGCTTGGCTAAGATCAGTTGTCGTACTGCGAGTAAATTTAGGGGAAACAAAACTATGATTATCTTTAAATAAAACACTTAATACATGCTTTTACAAATTCAATGCGATATCTATTTTATGAATCATTGACGGCACGAATACCATGCATGTTATCAATTCACAACTAAGTGCAATGTTACAAGTGGAGTGCAATGTTTAACAGGATAATTCAGCATGAGAATACGGTAAATCAGGCCCTAAATTCTCGTCTCCCTATTAGTTGGCACTCTTATATCGTTATTCCGACTTTATTGCTGTAAATAGCAGCGAAGGGATTATTGATTCACATTTAATATCTAAAGTCGTATTGTCTTCGCCCTTGAAATTGAATCCAATATGAATAAATAAAGTTAGTCTTTACTATGCATATCGTATCCCATATAGGTTCAAGTC